GGGCCCGCGGGCTTTCCCCGCCCCCGGGTTTCCCCCCTTTTTTAAAAAAAAAAAAAAAAGGGCAATCTGAACTAACTTCAAGCAAGTTTTTAAATAAATTTTTACGACATCTTCCTGTATGTTTCAGGTCACTCAAATTCCCTCTCTGTTCAAGATGACAGCCTGCTTCACTTCTCATCTGCAGGCACAACTTGGAATGTTCCTTAAAAAAGTGTTCAGAATAGTGATTCGAGAAATCCAAGACAAAGTGTTTAGAACTGTTCACGTAGTTTCCTAACATCTAAAATTGAACACCACAGTGACCTTTAGTCCAACATGCACTTCCTTTTATCAAAAGGAGGTCTTGAAAATCATTATCCGCACTCTAAAGAACGTCCCTTTTGGCTTGTGATATTTAACAAAGCTCAGAAGCGTGGCATCTTTAGACGTTTAAAGCAGTATTTACATGCACTTGACACTTCTTAACAGGAAGACAAGAACAACTGAGGTCATTTTGATCCACAAGTGACAAATCTCCAATGAATCTTACACTGCTAAATCATTACCTCTTTTGCACAATTATGAACATCCTCTGTGTTCCAGAAGAGCGTAATATGGGAGTACACTTTAACCATTTTACTGTAATTTAGCAGAGGCAATGCCACTGGCAGGAAGGCAAGCAAGAGAACCTAATGCAGTACACTAGTATCTCAGTCATTTTAAAGGGCAAGTAAACAACCTCCATGTTTAACAAGTTAAAAGCTGTAAGAGTTACCAGTATTAGCTCAAAAAGGAACAGAATTCCAAGCCTGCCAAACACAAGTCGTCAAACAAACAAACAAAAAGTACATATTTAGCCAGGACTCAGATTATTATCTCATCCGCTCTCTGCAAGAAATGCTATACTGTTTTTTCTAGCCAAGCACCCCACTTGTGACAGGTACCTGCAGGAGATGTTTTTAAGGGCTTTTGCAGAGAGGTCATTCCCCAAGATGCTCTCCTTGACCTCAATCATCATGAAGTTAAGAATCAGCTTAAGAAACTTCTGAACTGGGGTTTCACCTACATCAACATGGTCAGTAGCCGACCTTGAAGCCTTCCTGAATGTACCTAGATGCCTTCCGAACACACACTGCTGACCGCCACAACATCCCCCAGTAACGACCTGCAGAATCACATCACCCCATTTTCACTCGGCAATCCTTGGTTCTCATGCCGAGGGAAGAACCGACTACTGCATGTTCACTTCAACCTGAAAATAACCGTACTAGATCAGGCCAAGTCCAGCCAGCTTCAGTACCGTGTCCCTGATCAGCGAGCAGCGGATGCCTTGAACAAAGCACACGTACCATACTTCCCCGTTCACATTCGAGTCTCCTAAACGTCTAGTTGAAAATGCTATCAAATCCTTCAGGAGACCAAATTATTAAATGGCACGTATGATTCAAAATCTGAGAACGATCTGCGTTTGTGCAGCAGCAGGTTTTGCAACACATTTTTCTCTCTCTCAGGTTTGAGGTTTGCTGCAATGAAAAGGGCAAACACCAGTAATAATAAAAAGATTGTATTTTCAGAGAACTGTAAGTAAAGAACTCAAGCTCTGTTCTCCGAGTAGCTTACTTAAAGCCCCTAATTTCAGGATTATTTTTCATCCCATAAGCATTATTTCATTATCACCAGCAAGCACCATTTACCGCTTTGTAACCCTGAGGAAACAATACATATTTTCTAAAAAAAGCCTACACATATGCACGTTTCCTTAAGCGGCATCTGACTTCTGAGGCAAGTTATGGTGCAGAATGAAAGTTCTGAGGAGGGGAGCAAAGCTGGCCTATGCTCACACATCGCCTTCAGTGAAAAGCTCATATAAAGGTCAAAGGATCTGGAGCACGTTAATCCTTAGCAATGTTAAGAAACTTTTTGTTGCAGCTTCTTTACAGCTTCGCTAGAGGATTTTGGATTAAACCTAGTTCATGGTTACAAGGTCGCTTAGGCCACTCTTAATAAATTAAGTAAAAGCCTTCAATTAGAAGCCACAAGAAAGAAAGGAGATTAAAAATTCTCATTGGTAAGCTTGCCAAGAGTGCTCAAAATTTTTGATTCACTTAATTTCATGTTTAAATCTATTAGCAGTATTTACCATAAACAAATGAGATTTTGTTCTATATATCCTCCAGCTCTACCTCAGAAACAGTCCAAAAAAATCTCGGTGTCTAAATCAGCAAAAGCTCAAGCAGACAGTGGTTATTTTATAGCAGCCGTTACAGAAGCAGTAGTTATTCAAGCTACAAGCCAACAGCATTGTATTCCTTCTAAATAACGTCTTCTATTAAGCTATCATAAATGAAGTCCAAATTTGAACTACAGGCACTTTGTGGAATTTACTTTGCATCAGGCAAAATAATTTTCAGCCCTATTGCAAATTCTAGTCAAGCTAGAAATGATCTATTTATGAAAAGCAAAAATACACATGTTCGAAATCAGATCACTGTAAGACTGGGAAAAAACCTCACGTAGCTAGGATACTGCTGTATTTTATAAAAGATGTGCCTCAGGCACTACGTATTGTATCAGTCTGAAGTATTAAGTAATCAATTTTCCATTAAGAAAATGAGACAAAAATCACTTGAACTGTCAGCTTCTGCTGCTTTCAGAACAACCGGCTTCAGAACTAACAAAGCTGGTTTTTGACAAGTGTTCCTGAAACCCCTTCCTTCCCCAGCACACAAAATAACCAGATCCCTCCCAGCTCACACCCTCCAGTCTCCGCGCCCTGCCTCCCCAGTCAAGTCCATTATCTACCAGCTCCGACTCCTGTCTGCACATGTGCTGCCCGTCTGGCTAGCAGACCAAACGCGACAAATAACCTGAGCTCACACGGGAGGTTTTTTTCCCTTCAGCAGAGGTATTACTTTGAGTCCCTCTCCCCTCCCCTTTGGCACTGAATCTGTTTCTACAAAACTTTAGTAGCTTGTATCCTTTGTTAAACTTTTCCATTAAAAAGTGAAAAATTATAAAAGAAATTAATACACAACGGCAAAATCTTCTCAGAAACCAGGCTAAAAAAGCAGGATAATACAACCGTTCTTGGCCTCAAGTCGTCTGCGCTTTTTCGGCTCAGGTCCTTAGCTG